CCCTTCATTTATACTTTGAGGAACAAAGAGTTCTGCCTTGAAAAAATCAGTGACCAGAAATAAAATATTTGAGATTAAAGAATGAGGACTGCAATGTTGACTTTTCTGCAGGCTTCTGTAGCAAACTGATTCTGGAAGCCTCTTTGGGAAGTACATGTCAATAATTTTTATAAAGAAGGCAGATTATTTTGATTATGATTACGCAGGCAGAAATACCACCTCCTGACTGTGTAATCTGCGGACAATATTTGTGTACTCAGTCGCCTGTTCTTCCGCTTGTTTATTTGGAGATTATGCTTCCAAGTCTTCCCCAAAGATTCATTATTTTCATCATCCATCAAAGCAAAAATTAAAAGTAAAAGGGCTCTCTGTCATTTACTGTATTTATTTGTTACTACGAAAGAGATGTTTTATGATTACAAAATTTAATTCTTCCAAAATAAAGAAATCGAGGGACTTGTGTTCAGGTTTGTTGTGGCTCCACTGACCTTTAACACAGCGAAATCACCATGAGGCAGCATAAGCAATACTTATATATCTTATGTATCCTTATATATCTTACATGCTTACATCCAATAAAGTACCTGCTATCTGGATAGGTACTCTAAGAGGACATGCCTAAATAGATAGATAGATAGATAATGCAGAAAGGAGTAAGTGTGGGCTTATAGACAAGGGTATGTAGTGTTTGCAACATAGGAAAGTAAAGGGATGGGGGAATGAGTTTGCTTGTATGGTTATTTTTATTTTGAGGAATAATAATTTGAAATAAAAATGTCCTTTTAAAGTAGTGGTAAAACAGATGGAAGGCTGTTGTAGGAACAGGCAGGGAATCAGAATCATGGGAATGGACAGACCTGTGCAGACATCAGCATAAACCTAACAGATTTGGTTTCAGTGGCCCTATTTGTCTCATTTACAATGTTTCCCCAGAAAAATTATGAAGATAAGATGGAAAACCCAACCACTCTAAGGGAATTAAGCCTTTTGCAGTTCATAGACCTCTGGGAACTCCAGGCTTTCCTTTTAACAATCCTACTGATCACTCTATTTTAACCCTGGTATCATTGTTGTCTGAAAAGCAGATTCGTGCCCGGTGTGCAATAAGCCAGTTCCACACGCTCAGGAGAGATATTGTATTTATCCAGACCTGAGTCCTCAGTGGACTTTTCCACAAATCAAGCACACCACCAGCAAGTTACAGTGTTCCTCTTATACACAAAAATCAGGGATCAGTTTCTGTACACACCTACTAACTATTGATTGGTTAGTAATTTACATACAATTACATACTCATTCATGTAACTACACATGCTATGGGGAAGGGTTTTCACCTGGGCAAGGGTCTCCTTGACCTGTGGGTGTGATTTTTAATATTATAATGAAGGCAGTTAACTTCAGGACACCTTAAAAACTAGTTTCATTGCCAAGTTGGTTAATCGAATGGTCACTTTGCCAGATTGTCAAATAACTCATCCTTAACACAACCGGTCCAGATGTTCTCATAAATTTCTAGGACTTTACATACCCTAACTCCCTTCGTAAATCCTTTGTTGTTAATCAAAGTCATCTTGACCAAGATTCAAAGAAACGTACAATCAAAGCCTTGTAATTATTAACTACAGTTACCACTAAAATGCATTATATAATTTTGACAGTATTATTAGGTAGGACTCAGTCTTCCGTACAAATAGTTTATTAGTCTGATGATACCATCATCTTCATTGTCTGCACTGATGCATGGTAAGGGATGTTATGTTATCCATAACCTGGTGATTCCTCCTGGCCAGCTGCTAGAGCCAAGTCTAGAGATCCGAGGTCTCCATTGTTCGAGTCAATGGCCATGGCTGCTGCTTTCCTGTTTGCAGGCACAACCAGTAGTGAGGCTCAGTGTGTATGCCAGAGACACACGGACACACGTGTACAGACACAAAAGAACACCAGTGGTGGTCCTGCACCCTTTGTAACATTAGTCCACATTACACATTCTTTCACATATTGCAAGACATTGCTGTTTTCCTAATTAAAGTCGACGTTTCCCTTCCCATACCCCTTCATTTCCAGTGAACCATTGCATTATAGCCAATATCATTATTGATTTGACAGCAGGGAGTGATCTATTAGTTAGTGAAGGTCTTGTGGATACTCTGATAAGCAGCTCTTTTCATCCTCCAAACTATAAAGCCCAGTCATTATGCCTGCTGTTAGAGCCATTCATTTACACCTCTTATCATCCTTCTAATGTTCTGCTAAGATCTTTGCAACTTAATTGATTTAATTTAGCCAAGGATTTACTAACACGAGTCCTGTTTTGGTGCCTGTATAATAAGACTGGTTACAGAAGCCTCTAGAAGTCTGGATACAACTTTATCACTGTGTGCATATTAACAAAGGAGCAGTCCCCCATCGCATAAGGACTATATAAATGTGCTCTCTGGCATACTGACAGCTCAACCAGATCATCCCTATAATGAAACTGTTAAAGTATGTCAGGAGTGGTTGCCATCTCCAGCATCCTCCTCCCAGAACCCTCCTGCCTGACTGCTGGAGCCCAGCTCAGTGTCCGCATTCCAGGGGTCTCTGCAGAGGATGAGGAATGCAGCTGCCACTTCTTCATTTGCAGGTTCAACTGATAGCGAAGTTGAGCACCTATCCCAGACACACACATGCACAGACTTAAAAGGGCGTTGGCAGACAAGGTGCTGCCATTTACAGCACCTACATACTGCACTTGAGTAACACATGCCCTCATCAATTAGTGACCAGGTTTGGCTCACATCACTGTCTCCCTTAGCAATTATTGGTCAGACTTGTGTCCCTGCATGTTCTTGTTTATGGCTTCCTCCTATTATTTTTGCTTTATTGCTACCCCCTTTTTTTTTTTTTTTTTTTTTTTTGCATTGAAAAGGTCCTTGACCAGATACCCTTAAAGGAGAAGACATTGTCCTTCCACATACCCTTACAGGAGGGACCAGCATGAGTGAGGTGAGCGAGGAGCTCAGTGCTGGTGGCTGGAGCAGGACCATGGGTCCTACCATCTCTGAAGGGAAGTGTGTTCCAGCCTCTTTCACTCTTCCTCCCTCAGCATGTTGACCACTGCTGGCTTCTGGTTGGTTTCTCAGGTATTTTATTATCCTGGTTGTGGTGTTCATTCCCAGGGGTTATGGCCATGGTTTGAGAAACTCTGCTAACAAATAGCCCATAACAACTCCCAGCTTCATTCTGGTCACTGGGTCAGGGTACCAGAGACACCTGTGTACCTCTGACCTACCACCTGTAGACATCTGAACAACCATCAGAGACAGCCTAGAGGCAAGACCTTCCCAGAGATCAATGATTTACACACTTCCCTGAATTCCAGACTGCATACCAAAGAAGACAGAGTATTCTGGGACTCCACATCATGGACCCTTAAACAAATGGGGAGCACCTGTGCAACTCATTTGTTTCAAAGGAACACATTCTTCCCCAAGCACCCCAGGTGAGCTATAGCGCTTGCACACCTAGACCTGGAAGAAAGTTGCTGGCTCTGGACCCTAGTGCTGAACTTCACTCACTTATCTGCAGGAACATGTTTTGCCTAAGCCAGTCACCTGAGAGGAAGTCTTATCCTCTGTTTTCATGCATCTACAGAACATTTGCCTACACCTGAGCTTGTCAGCATAATGGCTTTAAATCAGGCTGGAGAAATAAGGTCTTTGGGGATCTTCCACTTCTGACCCTCCTTAGACTACTGCTTCAGGAAGAGAGGACTCCTGCCTGCCACTCCCGTGATGAGATCTCTGTCTGTAGTGCAGTACCAAGGGATGAGCTTAAAAATACAATTCAGTATCCTCAGCCCAGGCAGCTCCTGCCTTACTTGTGTTCCGGGACACAGACCTGGCCACCAACCATGGCCCCAGCTGATTGTATGTCTCCGGATGGCCCTATGTCATGTCTGCCAGCCCAGTGCAGTTGTCTGGGATACTCTAGAGAGCAGCAACCCTTGAGGCACTCCTGAAATGGGACAGACACCTCACAAAGGTAGGTTCATCTCTGGTGAACTGCCCAGTAGTGTTGTCCACTTCTCTCCGTCGACTACAAAGTGAGCTAACTAGTTAAGACTTAAGAAGTCTTTAAATGGTATTAGCTGCTGTTGTTATAAAGCAGGATTTCTACCAAAAGGGGTTTTCCTTTTGGACTGGTGGAAAAACCTGCAATTTGCAAGCAGAAAATAGGAATATACTTATAAGGATTCAGAATGCAATTCTTCACTGACATTAAGGAGCTAACTGTGATGGGAAACTAATTTCCCAGAATCCCTGTAGAGTATTCCCCAAAGGCAATGGAAATGTGCAGAAAGTTCTGGTCTCTACAGTTCTCTGAAATTCCATTTTGGGAATAAATTACCAGTTTGTAGGGGAAAAGAAAAGTCCTGGTTTATTCTGCATGTGGCTTTTCCTTGTAAGATCTTTTTTCCACTGAAGCAAATAAGGGCAGTAACTGCCCATCAGGGAAATGTTGCAGATAGGTTTGCATCCCCTGCTGCTCAGACTAGAGCTATGCTGTATTGTTGTGCCATCTAGGCTCAGAGGTGATGTCATGAATGTACATAAATACCTGAAGGGAGGGTGCAAAGGGGACAGAGTCAGGCTTTTCACAGTTGTGCCTAGTGACATGACTGGAGGCAATAGGCACAAACAGAAACACAGGAGATTCTGTCTGAACATAAGAACTATTTTTCTTCTGAGGGTGACTTGAGCACTGGAACAGGTTTCCAAGAGGGTCTGTAGAGTCTTTCTCCTTGGAGATACTCAAAACCCAACTGGGCATGGTCCTGGGCAGCATGTTCTAGATGATATGCTTGATCAGGGGGGTTGGACCAGATGACCTCCAGAGGTCCCTTCCAGCCTCAAGAATTCTGTTGCTCGTATTCCATGATTCCATGAACCAACTCTCCCCAAAACCTGCCCATGAAAGCAACATATCCCAGCAGGGTCATCAGCAAAGTTCAGTGCCTAATTTTTCCCTAAGCTGGCAGACAGACATGAGATGTAGGACTGACTGGAAGTATAAAATGTGGAGCTAGAGAAAGAAGGCTCAACTGGTGTATTCCATGTCAGAAACAGGTAATGTGGGAATGCAACATAATTCGCAGGATAGATGGCTGCGCTTCAGTTATTGGTGTTCCTTTGTTTAGGATCACTGAAGATGAGAGAGACATCATTAATGGGCAGGTGACCCTTCCAGTTAATGGAGTGAACTGCCAGCACAAGACTCATCTCATGCTAAAATAAAGCCCTAAAAAGGTTCAGAAGGCACACGTAGTGATTGTGAATTAGTGGTTGTGAACATGCTAAAGGGAGTTTGAAGGCTTGAGATAATATTGAACTGGGATGATATGCTTATGAAATCCTTGCTATTTCCTCAACAGATCACTGTTGCTGGTTTGGTTTTTTTGGTTTTGTTTTGTTTTGTTTTTTCCCTAGGGGGATTTCTTAAAGGGAATTAATGAACAAAGAATTTAAATACAATTATTTATCAATATTTTCTCAGAGAATACCATCATTTGCTTTGTTTGTGGACAGGAGTTATTCTGCTGTTTTTCTCTGTGTTTCTAAAACATGATGAAGTCATTGCCACCTGACTGCTGACGGGAAACTCATACAAACTAGTAACCAACAGCAATTTGGAAAGTTACTGTTGTTATATTACCATAAATATAAGAAAATACGATTAAAAAGTAGAGCACTAAAACTTGTATTTGTCTGCTAAGTCAGGAAGCCAGCCTGGAAATAGGAATCAGTCAGAAATGTTAAGGTATGCTTGCAGATCCTGACCCATGGTACTACAAATAAGACAGGGGAGGATCTAAATCTCATCTCATCACCTAGGGTCAGTATCTTCAAGAGCGAACACATACTGATACTTCTAGACACTCAGCTTAAGATCAGCAGAGAGTCTCTCTGGAGGTATTGAATCTCCACCTTTGACAACGCAGCAAATACTGAGGAATGCACTGGTACTTAAAACAAGTAGCAATGTGCAGTCAGCTGAGATGAATCACATTCAAGATTTCTGTGGAAAAGGATATGCTGTCTCATTTGGAATCTGCTCTCAAAGGTACTATAATGCATGGGCTCTGGGGTTTGTAATGGATACTAGTAAGAAAGGTACTCAGATTCTGTAAGGTATTAATTAAAGTAACTTTTTTTGAGCTAATATGAAAAGAGAAAGAGAATAGTATGGATAATTTTGTGTCCCTTCAGATGTTGTGAACCCACAGTTGTGAAACATTGGATGGATTTCTAGCCAAGGCACAGCCTGTTGCACTGATCCCGTCTGCAGAGTAATTCCCACACATTATGGTATTTAGAGCTCTTATCAGATTTTCTTAAGGCTTAAAAAATGTTTTTTGTGATTTCTACTGTCCAGCAAAAGGATGTCCACATGAGAACATGCTTCACTTTAAGATGAGGACAAGAATATGCTGGTGGCATCATCATTGGCGCTAAGTGGGAACTGCCTAAAGGCTGCTTCATTATGATTTGCCAGCTAAGTTTGTCCCATGGCCAATTCGTATGTGGAGCACAGGCAGATGCCTACTCAGGTCAGCTGTTACGTAGATCACTCACTCTTTGGCTCAGATTAGTCTTCCAGTTAGAACCACCACATGTACCACCTGATTAAGCTTTCATTTCTGCTTCTTGAAGCATCTTTAATGTGCTCTTTTTAACTAGCTTTCAGCTTTCAGAGATGAATCAGACAACAGGGGCGTTCATTCTCTTGGGACTCACTAGCAATCACTTTTTGGAGATCATCCTATTTGACATTCTCTTTGTTGCCTTCCTCCTGATCCTCCTTGGAAATATCGCTGTCATCACCATCACACTGGTGGACCAACGCCTCCACATCTCCATGTATTTCTTTCTCAGGAATCTCTCCCTCGTGGAAATCTGCTTCACTTCTACCTTCATGCTGAGGACACTCTACAGCCTCCTCACAGGAGCAAAACCAATCTCCCTCTCTGGATGTTTCCTTCAGTTGGAAAGGCTGTAGATGTGGTCTACCTGG